CACGCTGTTAGCTCATGTTTAGTTGGTTGTCCACTGGGACACATCCTTGAAACCTGCCGATGGAGCAAAGTTTTCAAGGTGTTGAGAAGACCAGATATGGAGGCAGCGGTCTGTAGCTTAATACAGGTAGTCCTCGACATTACACCGGGTTCATTTAGTGGCCGTTCGACGTTGGAACAGCAGTGAAACAAGTGACTTACAAACGTTTTCACACTTACGACCTTTGCAGTAGGTCCCATGATCGAAATTCAGATGCTTGGCCGTTGACTCGTATTTATGACAGTTGCTGGGACCATGAGATTCCCCCTTTGCGACCTTCTGACCAGCAACTTCAATGGGAAAGCTGGATTTACTTAACAACCGTGTTACTCTCGTTTCCTTGAAAATACGACCTACCCTGAAAGTAAGTCCTAGCTTGATTTTTTTTTTACACATGTGCCCAATATAAGCCCTACCTCCCATAATAAGCCTTAATTAAGACTCTGCCCACTCCAGAGTGGACAGGTAAAAATTAAGCTAGGGGGGAGATGGGAGGTGGTGGAGCTGCCCTACTACTTACCTTTGGGCAGTTGTAGCCAGGCCTCGCACACCCCGACACCTGCCTTGCCAGCCAGTCCATTTCTTCTGCAGTTGGCAAGGCTGGCCAGGCTTTCCTGAAGGCCTCTGTAGCTGAGAACAAAGCTCTGGATCGATCCTGAGGTCTCTTATCGGCTGCAGAGGCCTTCAGGAAGGCCTTGCCGGCTACAGAAGTTCCTGAAGGCCTCTGATAGCGAAAAGGAGGCCGGGGGCGACACATGCATGTGAAGTTAGCCAGTGGATGACACCCCCCAAAAATAGGACCTGGTGCCTGTTTTGGTGGCCCCAAAAAATACAAGTCAGGGTTTTATTTTCGGGGAAATATGGTAACTTAGCAAGAGCAGTGATTCACTTAACAACTCAGGCCAGAAATGTCATACTATGGGGCAAAGCTCACTTAACAACTGTCTCGCTTAGCTGTGGAAATTTTTGGAGTCCATTACGGTCGTACATTGAGGACCCTCTGTATTTATAGCACTCGAATTCTTTGGACGCGTCAAATCTCTTCCCATTTCCTGCCCTTCGGATGCGTTCACCTCACTTTCCGCGTCAGCCTCTTGACATCCGTCCGCCTTTCTCAAGGCCAGGATTTCGAATTTTTCACTTTCCTCAGCTCGGAAAGCTGGCTAATCTTCAAGCCGCATTTCATTGTCCCGTCCGTTTACAATCCTCCGAAGTCTGGGAATGAAGAGCGGCGTGGGAAGCCCTCCCTTTAAGTTGAACGCGGAAGTTCATTTCTGATTTCCATATTAATAAAACACAGCTTTGTCTTTTTTTAAAAAAAAAAAATTGGCTATAATCCTTGCGACAACCAGGCTGAGGAGAGATTATATGGGTGATATTAGGAAAGCAATGAAATGCTGCAAGAAAGAATTTAAAATTGGAGAGAAGAGACACGAAATTAAATGTTGAATGGGGCTTATAGCCACCGTTCTCAAGGCATCAGAAAAGCTTAGCTGTATGTATGTATGTATGTCTCAGTATACACACACACATGCGTGCATGCATGCATGTTTGTCTTAGTGTGTGTGTGTGTGTGTGTGTGTGTATATATATATATATATGTGTGTGTGTGTGTGTGTGTGTGTGTGTGTGTGTGTGTGTATATATATATCACGGGTATTTGTATGTGGATCTTTGGTTATTTGGGTTTTCAGCACAAAGCTGAAGACACAAGCCTGAAGATGATGAATGAGACTTCATCGAAACGTCGCCTAGATACTTCCAATTTTACGCGGGAGAAAACCCGAATAACCAAAGATCCACGCACACACACACACACACACACATATATATATACATACATACATACATATACATATACACATACACATACACACATACACACACATACATATATACATATATACATGTATACATGTATATGTATTGTAATGTATGATGTATGTATATGTGGGTGGGTGTTTGTGTACCCATATATAAATACATACCTGTACATATGCACACATACACCCACCCACACATCCTGCCTTTGGTGCATGAAACCATTTTAGAACCATGGGTTTCGTCTGCATTTTTTTTTTTCCTGGCAGACAAAGAATCTCACTGCAACTTCCGTGCCAGATCGATGAGATCTTTTTGGCTCCGTGGAGTATGCGCTGTTTCCCCACAGCCCTGCATCGTGCCGCTAAATAGCGGTTGCATGACGTTTTCACAGGAAGGGGCTGTTAATGTTGCTGCTAAGCTGCGTTGAAGAGAGGGAGGGAGGGGGGATTGCTACCTCTTCCCCCCCCCAAATCTGTTATTTCCACCTCATCAGCCACGGAGACGTCTCCAATTCAAGACCCCTGAAATTTAATTGCCTCCCCTGGCAGGATTTAACCTCAGTTCGGGTGTCTTGGAATGTGGTTTCGATCGAGGGTGTAACCACCCATGAAATTAGACACAGAACACACACTGCGCAGCGTCGCACAGTGGGGTCTGTCACACCTCCTAGGAAAAGGGCAGAGAAAACGGCAGATGTTCCCACCGGTGAATCAAAGCTGGATTTGCACATTGTTTTCCTTGAGTGAGGACGCATGTTCGGCTTTCTGGGTTTGTCCAGTTCCTTACCCTGAAGTACAGGTGGGCCTCGACTTATGACAGTTCATTTAATGGCTGTTCGAAGTTACAACGGCACTGGAAAATGGGACTTTGGACCATTTCTCATACTTACGACTGTGGCAGCATAAATAGGAGTTCGTTGCCAAGCCTCCAAGTTTTGGTCCCACTGTTCAGATCCCAGCCTTAGCAGAAAGCAAGAAACCGACTCTTTGTCCTCCGTTGTTCCTCTCTGCTAACAGCTTTGCGCATATGCGCATCTGGAACAGGCCCCAGCTGTTCTTCCTCCTCACTCATATCAGCCTCCAAAGGCAGCTGCCTCTTCTCCGGTGGCTGGGAAATGTCGGACAGCCCTGGCTCTCTCTCTGCCTCCATCAGAGCCTTCCCCAGACTCCAGAACTGTCTAATTTCCTCCCCAACCTCCTCCTCATCTGATTCTGCCGCCTGTTCCACTGGCAGATGGCGGGCCACAACTCCCATGGTCATGGGATCAAAGCTCAGAGGCTGAGCAACTGACTCCTATTTATGGCGGTTGCGACATCCCAGGGTCACATGATCCCCGTTGGTGATCTTGTTGTGGCCCACCAGCATCCAGCGGACCTGGCGGCAGACTCAGACAGTGAGGAGGTTGGGAAGGAACCTGGGCCAGTCCTGGAGTCTGGGGAAGGCTCTGATGAGGGCTTTGCGTCAGAGGCAGAGATGGGGCCAGGGCCATCTGACAGTTATCAGCTGCCTTTGGAGTCGGAGATCAGTGGGGCAGAAGAACAGCTGGAGCCTGTTCCCAATGTGCACATGCACAGAGCTGCCAGGAGAAGGGACAAGGGTCAATTCCGGAGTAAAGGCTCAGGTGGACGGGGAATGGCCCCTCTCATAGGGAATAAAGAGGAGCGAAAGGGGATTGGGGTTTGCAGCAGACAATTAGTTCAATTCATTAAGGTGAAGATCTGTTCCTGACTCCTTGCCAAGTAATTGTTGTTACAGCATGGCATTTGGAAGATATCGGCCTGGCAACTCTCCAAACCTGAGAAAGGTCTGTAGTTGTGAACACTCTTGAAAGACTGTTGGCCAGGACTTTGCTGGATGCGAATGATAGGAATTCACTTTAGCCAAATAAAAAGGGGTTTTGTTGGGACAAGGAGTCTCTTTTGTGATTTTGGGAAGCCCAGGTCAGAACAGATCTTTTGTCAATGGTGGAGCCAGTTTACTTAATAACCATGTGAGTAATTTAACACCAGGCAGTGATTTCGTTTTGCAGCTGTGGCAAGAAAGAAACCCGGCGCTTCCTGGGCCTACATCTCCCAGAATCCCTCATTCTCATGGAATGCTGGGAATCGCAGTTCTGGAAAGGAAAAGCATGGATGCCACGAACCCATCCAGGGCGCCATTTTGCAAGCCAAACGCGAAATCTCCTGGTTCTGCCAGCTAGTTAGCAGCCGTGCCTGGTTTTCCTCTTGGCTTAAGCCGAGAAGTCCCTATTAGTATTCAGCATGCCTGGTTTCTATAAATACAACCCCTAGAGAGGCTCAATTGCCAGAATCCTGCCCGCTCCGGTGACGCCAGGCCTGACATGCTCTCAGCGTTAATCCTCCGCCTCTCTAGACCGAACCGCCGCCGATTTTTAATTAATCTGATTTAGTGGCTGAACACAACCCTTGTAAAAACCGAACACCTGGAACCGAGAGTTATTTATTCTGGCAAGGAGTGAGTCTCATTAACTCCACAGAGTCGGCTTTACATTCTCAATCCTGAAGTGATCCTAGCGGAAGCCGTCTTAGAGGCTTCAGAGTTACCACGCAGCTGTGGGAGGAGGGAGGGAAATAGTTTGATGGGGTTTTGTAGCCAAAACAATAAAGGTTTCCTCTGGGAACCAAGGACATTCTCACAGGTGGCTGGCCAGAGGAGGAGCCAGTAACCCAGTAAGGAGCCAGCGCCTGGATTGGACAGCGTAACTAGTGACTTGTTGGGGGGGGACTTTTACTTTTAATTTGGTAAAAGCTGCAGGAAATCTCAAGAGTTGGCTTTTTCTCTCTCTCTCCTCTCTCTCTTTTTCCTCTCTCTTTCTCCCTCCTCTCTCTCTCTCTCTCTCTCCTCTCTTTCTCTGCATACCAAAGGAACTCCAGAAACGGAAGAGTGCGATAAATTAGAATAAATAAATTAAGACAGGTCTGGCATGACTCATAGACTCTATGGATCTAATTGCTCTTTGGGGGAGAAAAAGTCTGCAGCCATTTCAACAGCTATGGTTTTGAGCAGCTCTCTTGCCAGCCAGTTGCCGTTTTGCATTGCCATTTGCCGTTTTGTGTTGCTGTGAAAGAAATTGTGCCTTCCTGTCTATTAAACCACCCCTTCTCTTCCCTCCCCAGGCTATCCTGCCGGATACCCCACCGCAGCCCCCACCTACAACCCGAACATCTATTCGACTGGCCCAGGTTACGCCCCAGGTAAACTGATTTGTGTGTGTGTATGTGTGTGTGTGTGTATGGTTGTGTTCATCCTGTGTGTTGTTTTGCAGCTGCTTTGGGAGTCTGGCTTCTGTTCGGAGGGGGTCTGCTTTTTCAGGGGCTATTTCACTCACTCAACACCTGTCATGCCCCTGTCGGAGTTTGAATACGAGGAGGAAGACGAACAGCTGACGGAGAGGGAGTGTGGCTGTGTTGGCTGGGGAGGAAACAGGGGAGGGGCAAAGTCCGGCTGGGCAGAGCAGGGGAGAGGTAGAACAAGAAAGAAGGAGTTCAGAGGAAGACCCAGGCCCACCCCCTCTTCATCCTAAGGCACGCAGGGAGGAATGAAGAAGGAGCAACATGGGTTGCATGGCTTACGGGGGAGGAAAGGGCCCCGATTCCCTTCATTAGGCACAGCTGGGAATGAGAGTTTAATAGAGATACAAGCTGAGAGCGGCGTCTGCTGGGAACAAATGTGTTGTGTTGACTGTGGCTATCTGTGTTCCTGGCATCCTCCCAACCATGTTGAATTACCACCGTGCCTTCCCATCTCCTGCCCTGCTGGACTAATGACCTCCTCTTGCCTTGATTGGACTTATAGTTAACAGTTTTTGTTGACCACGTTGTGGACTTGATTCCCTGCAGCCCAAGGCTGTTCCTGGGAGAGTTTTTCTCCAGCCCAGAAGGTAACCAGGACATTGGGGGCAAAGTTGGAGCTAATAAAGGGATTCCTACTTATTATCTGACTATGTTGCCTTTGTGCCACGCCCGACCGTTTTTCACCCTTACGATCATCTCCTGACTCCCTTTTTTGCTCCCTTCAAAGTCAACCGGGGGAAGCCAGATTCCCTTAACAGCCGTGTTACTAATTTAACTTCAGTGATTCGCTTAACCGTAGCAAAAAAGGTGGTAAAATGGGGGGAGGGGAGAACCTCATTTAACCAATGTTTCACTGTTGGGCTCCATAGTTGGCCGTAATTCGAGGATTGCCTGTACAATTCGCAGGGGCAAGGAACGCAGGCCCGAAATGTTTGCAGAGCCGTGCCAAATATTTCCGATTTTGGCCATTTTTCCTTCCCAGATGCCCAGTGTTGGGTTCAAAAATCTCACCCCTGTGAGTCCAGGCAGACCAGAATTGAACCCCAAATTTAGGTTGCTACGTGAATTTTCCCTGAAACGCAGTGGGAGGCACCCTCTAGAGCGTTTGCAGAGTGACTACTATTAATGAGACAACCTAGGAGCAAAACGCAGCTCCACAGAGACTTAGACGTTTACTAGTGGTTTATATACAAGACATACACAGAAATGTACGTGGTAGGCAAATACCTGACAAGCAATCTGTCTTCTTAACTCTGCACTGAGAACTCTGCAATGAATACTGGGCACAAGGAGAGAGAATACTCCCTCTAATGGCTGCCTTATATAAATACCTCTTAAAGTGGTTGAACCCATCCTCAGTCTTAAAGAGGCAGTACCAATGCTGATTCCTCTTCATTGCATCAGCCATATTATATTGCATCAGCTTCACTGCTGGTCGGCTCTTAAATCCCAATACCTTAACACACCCACAACTTCCTGTTTGGATAATTGTGTAAAGGGGGACCAGAAGTGTTTCCCCAGTAGGGCTGGTGGGGGGGGGTGCAAAGAAATGCCCCTCCCCACTTTAAAACTGGTGTTTGGAAGCAGGTCCCTGATTCCACTGGGAGAAAAATGGGACAGGGATTGTTAAGCCTGGATTCCCTAACGGGTGTTAAGGAAAACAAACTAAAAAGAACGTGCAGCGAAGTCAGATAGGAAGACAGGTAAATGTGTGAGATAAGTTTTCTAGTTAACACGCAGTAAAAATACAGATACGCTTGTGCTATCAAAAATATAGTTTATTCCATTTAAGAATTATAGCATAGTCAAATATAACGGTCCATTAGTCATATATCAATTTCAGTCAAGTCTTGTCGGGGATACTCTATTTGCAAAGTCCATGTTGAATAGACAATGTCAGTTCGCTTACAATAAATCAATCCAATCTTTATCTTCTCTCCGTTGAGAAAAATCAACACTCCTTCTTCTCTCCCCGTTCCAGCAAGAACACAGTCATCAATCCTTCCAGTAATTAGGGATCAGTAAGCCAGAGAGAGCGAGCAGCAATTGCCTCGCTTCTTATATAGTGCTTTTACAACCACACCCTTAATTACATTCCTGCAGTTAAAGTTACACACACTTTAACTAACAAACCATGATACCATATTTATTATTTTTACCCAAAACAGTTAGGGTAAACAATGTTATCCCTAACAGGAATGATGGGGACTTGTTTTCCTCTTACCTGGGCGGCCCTTGCCTCTTTTTGTTTCTCCGCAGGATACCCCGCTGGGACGCCCTACAAAGTCCCTCCAACCCAGAGTAATAACGCCCCGCCTCCTTATTCTCCGTCGCCCAACCCGTACCAGACAGCCATGTACCCCATTCGAAGTGCCTATCCGCAGCAGAACCTGTACACCCAGGTGAGTTTAGCCGGTCGATCTTCCGGTCCGCCGATGTTTCGATAGAAGCTTTTGCTGGCTGAGGCATTCTGGGAGTTGAAGTCCACAAGTGGCCGAGGTTGGAGACCCCCCTGCCCCAAAGCATCGTTTCTCCACCTGGGTAACTACGCTTTTCTGGGGGGATTCTGGGAGTTGAAGTCCACCCCTCTGAAAGTTGCACAGGTTGCTAAACACTGGTCCAAAGATTGAAAGCGGGGGAGGTTTTGGACGTTTTGTGTCAGAGAGGGAGGATTAAGGGAGGGCACAGTGGTGGTAAACTCAAATAATTTAACAACTGGTTCTCTGCCCTAATGACCAGCTGGGTGGGCGTGGCTATGGTGGGTGTGACCAAGGGTGTGTGACAGGCAGCACTCGATCTCCTGCACCCCCCTGGGAGCACAAATGGGCCGTGGGGGGTGTACTGCCTCCCTGGACCCCGTTTTGGGCCTAGTGGGCCTCCGTGCAGCCTCCTGGGAGCCAAAACGCCGTGTGTTGTGTGTGCCACATCCTTCCCCAACCCCCCTGGCGCCCATTTTGGTCCTAGTGGGCCTCCCTGCACTTACCTGGGAGCCAAAACGGGGCACGTGAGGACCCCTGGAAAGGCTGGGGCAGGGCCAGCCGGCAATTTAACAACCGGTTCAGCCAAAGTGGTGCAAACCAGTTGAATCCCATCACTGGGTGGGGTGGAGGCAGTGGTGGGATTCAATTTTTTTTTTACTACCGGTTCTGTGGGCGTTGCTTGGTGGGCATGGCAGGGGAAGGATACTGCAAAATCCTCCTTCCCTCCCCACGCCAGTAACCTGCTTTCCAGCCCCGTTCTCCTGTGCAGGGCAACTAAAGAAGATCCAGCCGATTAGCCGGGAGTCAATGGGAGGCAGAGAAGAGATGGGGTTGGTGGGGCCAGTCAGAGGTGGCATTGGCCGGTTCTCCCAACTACTCAAAATTTCCAGAACCGGTCCGAACTGGCTGAATACGTCATGCCCCTGTCGGAATCTGACTCGGAGGCGGAAGCCGAACAACCGATAGGGAGCCGGAATGTGGTTCTGTTGGCTGTGGAGGAAACTGGGGAAGGGCAAAGTCCGGCTGGGCAGAGCAGGGGAGAGGTAGAACAAGGGAGAGGGAGTTCAGAGGAAGACCCAGGCCCACCACCTCTTCATCCTAGGGCACGCAGGGAGGAACGGAGAAGGGAGCAACGTGAGTTGCGTGGCTTATGGGGGAGGAAAGGGCCCTGATTCCGTTCATTAGCTGCAGCTGGGAACACAGTGTATAAAAGAGGAAGCTGCGCGCAGCAAGTTGTTGGGAGGAAATCGTGAATTTATCTTGTATCGTTGTGGCTTATCTGGGTTCCTGGCGTCTTCCCAACTGTGTGTGTTTTGTTGGCCTTTCAAGTCTGAAATTCCTTCTCCTGCCCTGTCAAGTTAATTACTTCAGCTTGGTTTGTTTGGATTTTTAGTTTGTGTGTACCTTGTTTTGGACTTAATTTCCTCCACTTCGAGGCTGTTCCTGGGGGAGTTTTTTCTCCAGCCCGAAGGTGACCTGGACATTGGGGGCAAAGTTGGAGTTAATAAAGGGACTCTTGATTGCTTATCGGACTGTGTTGCCTTTGTGCCACGCCCCTTTGGGTCATCACAAAATAGCACCTTTTGGTGGAGTACAGAAGTGGACAAAACCAGCTGGTTCTGCAGACACACACACACATACACGGTTTCCCACGGGACCTCCGTTGTGGGATTCCCACGGACGTTTTTCCCCACTCACCTCGCGCGTGTTCCTTTCTCCTCCCAACAGGGGGCATACTACACGCAGCCCTTCTACGCGGCGCAGCCTCACGTCATCCATCACACCACGGTGGTCCAGCCCAACAGCATCCCTTCCGCCATTTACCCGGCTCCCGTCACCGCGCCCAGGACCAACGGCGTTGCCATGGGGATGGTTGCCGGGGCGACCATGGCGATGTCCGCAGGTAAGGGGCCGCCGAGGCAAAGAACTCCCCTCCTCTCCCCCCTCTTCTCATCAAACACTGCTTTTCGGTCCCGTAGTCCGGACTACAGGCCCCATGCTGCCTAGCCAGGAGCGGATTCAGCATTTAAATTCAATACGGTTTAGTCTTCGACGTACGGGCCGCCATTTTTCCGTTGCTCAGCAAGACATTAAACTTTTTTCCCCCATTTTACAACCTTTCCGTCCAACAGTGGTTAAGCAAATCGACGCAGTTAAAGTTAGTCATTTCCTCGTTAAGCGAATCGGGCTTTCCCCATTCGCTGGTCAGAAGGTCGCAAAAGGGGATAAACGTAACCTCGGGGACCCCCGTCATAAATACGAGCCCGTTCCCAAGAGTCTGAATTTTGATCCTGGGGATGCGGCAATGGTCGTTAAGTGTGTAAAATGGTCACAAGGTCGCCTTTTCCCCCCCAAGTGCTGCTGTAACTTCAGCCAGTCGCTAAACGAACGGTCGTAAGTCAAGGACTCCCTGTCTTCCGAAGTGTAAGCCTTTACCAAGCCTCCGATCACAGAAGTGGCCATCTTGGAATAAAACAGGTTACAGGTAGTCCTCAACTTAACAACTGGAATTGGAGTCTGGAATTACAAGTCATAAATCATGGTGGACACTAAGCGAATGGCCATAAGTTGGGGACTACCAGGATAGGGTTTCTTTTTATCAACCGGAAGCTGCGCTGAGTTCCCCCTTGTCCAGCTCTTTCTCCGTAGCTCTCAAGTTAGACCTTAAGGCTCCGAGGTTAGATTAGATTAACAGAGTTAGAAGGGAGCTTGTAGGTCATCTAGTCCAACCCCCAGCCAAGCAGGAGACCTTACACCGTTTCTGACAGATGGGAGTCCAGTCTCTTCTTGAAACTCTCAAGTGATGAAGCTCCCACAATTCCTGAAGGCAACTTCTGTTCCATGGGTTGATGGTTCTCACTGTCAGAAAGTTTCTCCTTATTTCCATGCTGAATTTCTCCTTGATCAGTTTCCATCCATTATTCCTTGTCTGGCCTTTGGGTCCTTTGGAGAATAGCTTGAATCCCTTCCTCCTCCCTGTGGCAGCCCCTCAAATATTGGAAGATGCTCTCCTGTCTTCCCTGGTCCTTCTTTTCCTTAAACTAGACATGTCTTCTGTCCGTCCATGGTTTGCTCAGATGTCTTTCCTTCCTTCCTTCCTTCTTTCCTTTCCTTTCCTTCCTTCCTTCCTTCCTTCCTTCCTTCCTTCCTTCCTTCCTTCCTTCCTTCCTTCCTTCCTTCCTTCCTTCCTTCCTTCCCTTCCCTTCCCTTCCCTTCCCTTCCCTTCCTTTCTTCCCGTCCTTCCCTTCCTTCC